GTACCAGGAATCGAACTCACAACCTTGCGCTGGCCAGGCAGGCACTGTGCCGCTGAGCTAAATCCCCAGCCCCCCTGGCTTAGATTTTGGAGCATTTAAAGTCTGTGCAGAAATTCCAGAATCTGAAAAAACTCTGAAATCTGAAACACTTCTGGTTTTACACAAATTTCAGATAAGGGATACTCAGCCCTTCTGAGGAAGAAGAGGTAGGGGGAAGCATGTCCTTGAGCAGCCGGAAGAGGTGGGCGGATTGAGCCCTCCTCATGTTCTGTGGGGTAGGGGAGACCCGCATCTCCTTGTGTGGGGCATTTATGATGTCAGGGCTGCTGGCCCCCTCTGTCTGGGTTTCTAGGAGGGCTGACCAGAGTGCCCCAAGGGTGAAGCCAGGCTTCATCCTGGAATTGTTGGTCACTCTTCTCTTCCACCCTCGGCCCTGCTGCCCTGTGGCCCTGCCCTACACACCCTGGCAAGAGTGGCCCGCAGGTGTGTCCAGCAGTCCCAGGTAGCGGTATAGCAGCTGCCTCCTCCCATTGTTTCCTTCAGGCTTTTGCTGAGGTACCTTCTTACCATCAGGGCCTTCCTCGACCAATCTGTTTGAAATCAAACATATTTTGTGTATGTGTGTGTGTGTGTGTGTGTGTGAGAAAGAGCGGGGGGAGAGGGAGATTGGGGATGGAATCCAGGGTCTCATTCATGCTGGGCAAATGCTGTACCACTGACTGAGTTACACCGCAGTCCCTAAACGTAGTCTTAACCAGCTTTATTTTTTTCATAGCACTTGTTTCCACCTGACATTATTTAACTGGGGGTGTTGGTCTCCTCCACTGGAACACAGGCTCCTTGGGGGTAGGGCTTGTGTATTGCAGAATTTCTCCAGCTTTGCGCTGTGGGGCGTGAGGTGGGCCATCAGTGCGTGTGTGACAAGACGCTAGGTGCCTCGTGGTACAGAGGAGAGAGGGTGCCTGGGGAGGGTCAATGACTGCATGTCGTGTGCCTGTGTGGTCTTATTTCTTTGTGTCTGTCTTTGTGTCTGGGTCAGAAAATCCATGGTTTTTTTGGTACGGGGAATGGAACTCAGGACTTCGCCCTTGCCTGGCAGGTGGTATGCCACTGAGCTATATTCCCCAGCCCTCCATGTTCATTATGAAGAGTAGGATTTGGTTCATAGACAGCAGAAAGGCTTCTCACTCAGGTCATGGGAGGAGGGGCTTAGAACCCCCGTGTCCAGGTGTAAGTGTATCATCATAACTATGGTGAATGACTTCAGGTGCCCCGCTCAGCCCTTTGAGTCCTCAAGCGACAGTAACAAGCCCCAAGTAGTGGATCTCCTCATAGTCCCCATGTTGGTCCCTTGTGACTGGTGATGTTGGCCTGGGGAAGTTAAGCTGCCCGAGGTCAGGTGTGTGGGCAGCATCAGGACCGGGAGCTGCCTGCCTGTCCTCCTGGCTCCCGGTCCGTCGTGCCAAGCACTGCTCTCTCTGCCTCTCCTCCCCTAGGCATTTGCATCAAGTGTGGGCTCGGCATCTATGGAGCAAGGCAGGCGTGTCAGGCAATGGGGAGCCTGTATCACACCGACTGCTTCATCTGTGACTCCTGCGGTAGGTAACCTCTTCCCTGTACCCTTTCTGCTCCCCCGCAACTGAGTCCCAGGCAGATGGCTCGCCCAGCTCTGGCCCAGGCTGGCCAGTCTTCCCTTGCAGATGGGTTATGGCCCCTGGCCCTCTGGGCCTGGCCTGTTTGAGAGCCCCAGGCCTCTGGGGAGATGTGCTAGGGCTGGGGGAGGAGCCTTGGAGCTGCTGAGGAGCCCTTCCGGATAGGAAAACGGGCCCCCCAGCTTCAGCCTCTGCCACCTGCCGGGCACTGGGGTCTGCCAGGGAGGGTGGGAAAGGGGGTGTGGAGCAATGAGGGGTCTTCTGCTTATCCGGACCTAGGGCTACTGTTGTTTTTTTTTCCTGCAATTTATTTTTGTCTCTGTTTACACACAGTATAAATATAAATATCATAAAAAGAAAAGAGTAACTATAATTCAATAGCCCAACTAAATCTGCAGTCTTGGTTTTCCCACTGTTCTTTCAGATTTTGCCCCTAAGCAGACATCTTTTATTTATTTGTGTTAAACATTTTAATATTTTATTACAAAATAATATGTGTACAGTGTTAAGTCAAATAAGCTCTTTTTAAAAAAAAACTAATTAAAAAACATTTTTTGGAAACAGGGTCTTTCTGTGTAGTCCAGGCAGGTTTGAACTTGCTTTGTAGTGGAAGGTGGCCTTGAACTCATAGCAGTCCTCCTGCCTCAGCCTCCCGAGTGCTGGGATTACAGGTGTGTGCCACCATTGAGCCACACCTCCAGACCTCACTTAGTGTTTTGCAGTCATAGTCTTTTCTTCTAGTAGTGAGGGTGCTGATAAATTCTGATGCCATTCAGATGCATTCTTTCT